ACCGCTAATGTATGCAGCCGCAGTTGCTCGGCCACGTGCGCCAGCGTCTCCGGACATCTACGAAGCTACTCGCCACGTTTATTCGTCGACGCCACCTTCCCGCTCGCTGACCGTCCCGTCTCCGGCTGTATACCAAACAGGTCAGAACGTTTATATGATGCCGCCGCCTGCACAACCATTTACGGTACCTTATTCAGCGAACAGTGCCCCTACCGTCAGCCAATGGCGCACTCCGGATAATCGGCCGATATGTTTTTTATGTGGCATCCCAGGCCACATAGCTCATCACTGCCGTCATCGCAGCTTCCCTTCTCATAACATTGCAGAGGCCTCACATTACATGCGCACCATGCCCACTCAGCCGCGATATCCCGTTCCTGCCGATCCACCTCTAGACATACGTCCCGGTCGCCGACCATCGGCTCAAGCCGTTCACCTTCTCCTCGTCGTCGATCAATTTCTCCAATGTTACGACGCAACAACCCACCGCGAGAGGAAAACTGACGGGCGCAGTTCCGGAGGCAAGAACTGCGTTGGCAGCGAAAATTTCAAGACCTATCTGCTTTCCCCCGAACGAAATCGAACTCTATATTGATGGCATTAAGGTGCATGGACTTGTTGACACTGGAGCTGCCATATCTGTAATTAGCGAGAAACTGTGCCGAAACTTGAAGAAAGTGACCACGCAACTTACCGCCTATCTATGCAGACAGCTACGTCCCATCATATTCAGCCTTCAGCTTTGTGCACTGCACGAGTCATCATTCAAGGTGCGATGTAGGTCATCACATTTGTAGTTTTATTCCGTTCTTCGCCGTCGTTTTTCGCAACGGTCACGCTGCCATTTATGTGTGCGATCCCTCGGACAGCCCGTCATCCCTACTTCGTGTCAATACGGTGAACGACCGCAGAGATTCGGCCTAAGCCTGACTGGTCACGATCGAATGAAGAGCAAAAGCGGACTAGATAATTTATAATCTCTTCGCGCTGAGTAAATATTATCTTAAGGGGAGATGCGGGTCAAAAAACACGAGTTTTCTTTAAAATTACCGATTTTTTATTTTCGCCTGTTGTGATAAGATTAGTAACTCTACGGTTTTGAAAAAAAAAAAACATATCAAGACTTAATCAGAAATGCTTTAAATTTGCGTTTAAAGAGCACAAGGTGCCTGTTAAAAGGCCCAAAGTGTGCAGTCTTCGAGCACCTTGCTGCCGATAATGTGTTGCCGCTCGAAATTGTCGATCGATCGCATGAGGCAGAGTCGAGCCTCACTCTTCAAATAATGACAATTTCTCTCCCTGATGCGGTGGAATAAATAATAAAAAGAAGCATGCTTTTGCGCGTTTTTCGAGTGCCATGACTGGCTTATCACGTGGTATGGATCGGGAACATTTATTGGCTGCTGCGCGCCTGTATGTGCTGTAAAGCCTACTTGCGGAGTTCATGTCTTGTCGAGCAGCGTAGCTAAACAATGCTTTTCTAGTATATTTATCTCCGTTATGAATGAAAAAAGCATTGTTCGCGTGTGAAAGCTGCATTGGGGTCGCGCTCTGTAGGAATAGGCTACGAGCAGCTGGTCCGATTTGCAGCAGTTGTTGCCTTGTAAAAGTGAATGCATCAAAAGTCATGACCAGCCATCACCCCAAAAGTTTGTGATGCGGCAATGAATGATGTCAGTCCCAATCTCTCGAAGTCGAAGGAGCTCACAGTGAGGAAGCTTAGGTGGTATGACATTGCCAATATGCACGATGGCATGCGACATAAACGTGGCCGCAAAATGACATCGGCACTGTTGTGTCTTTCAACACTGGACTAAGTTAAGATTTCGCAATCCTGTCGAACTTCTTTCTAGCTTGCAATCGGCACAAAGCTCTGCCAGATGGAGTGGAAGACGTTTGACAAGCGTTTCATGACCCTGTCTGTGAGCGCAATGTCTGTGAGGAGTCGGCTCGAAAAAGCTGAGAAAGACAAACTCATGGTGCTGGCGTGTTTTAGAGACAGTAGCCACTACAAGAAGGACTGTTCTTTTTTATGTGCAAATTTTATCGAACTTATAGACATCTTTCATAAATGAACACTCAATTTCAACTTTAAAACTCGTTTTTACCAAAACCAAACTTTTGTCATTTTTTGCAATAAGTGCTTCCTTCTTCGGGTATTTCTAGTGATCGGATCTGCATTAAATTTTGCCCAAATTTTTTCTACAGTATGACAAATACAACTATCTTGTTTATATTTCAATATTTTAACTTATAATAAAAAGTTTAGGTAAACTTTTGCTATGGTAGGTGAAATATGGACTTTTCATGTCTATTATTTTTCATTCATATTACGTATTTTGTATGTGCTTTCTAATTGGTTATTTATTTAATTGAAACATTATTAACTATGAATGGCAAAAAAATCACGGAAGTTTAGGGATGAAAAGAAAGGACGTAAAAGGGTTAAGGTTCTCACTTAAAGTGAGCAACTTGCAAGAAAACTAATTATATATTTGAAATAAGCATAAAAAGATCCATAAACAGCTCAAGTTTCGTTGCTCTAGAATTAATAATATAAAAAAAGTGTCTTCGAGTACAGCAACTCCCTTTGAACACAGACAAGGAACATCGATCACATTCTACAATTAATGACATGTCAAGCCTTGCTGTGTTTGCGAAACAACCTTCTATGAGACAGCCGTACTCACTGTGTGTGAGGAGCCTAGCGAAGAAAACTGGCGAGCCACCTGAACACCATTTGATGGCTCCCGCAGTACGTCTGCCATCGTGGCAGTGGCAGGCGATAGATTGCGACATGTCTTTCTTGGAGGTTATGAAGCATGCACCAATTGCACATATTCAGACATATTTCCTAGAACTGCAATAGAAATACACATGTCCAGAGTACTTTACGGATGCCTCAAAGACAAACACTTCTGTCTCGTACGCAGCTGTTGGCCCATCCTTTTCGGAAGCCGACGTTCTGCACTTTGATTCACCCATTTTCACCAGCGAAGCTTATGCAATACTTGCGGCCGTTAAACACATTAAACAAATAAAACTACAAAAGGCAATAATATATACAGATTCCCTAAGCATAGTAAAAGCTCTGAAAAACTTTATAAAAAGCACAAAAACTCTGTCGTTGTGTCGCTTTATTCACTCTTATGCACAGTCTACTCCTCCAAGCAGCATGCTGTAGTCTGCTGGGTGCCAGGACACCGTGAAATACAAGGCAACGTTCTGGTGGACCAGCTAGCTGAATCCACCAACAAAACCGCTACGAATACATTAATACCAGTTCCAGCACTCGACTTCAAACCTTTTCTAAAATGAAAGCTCAGGGGTTATTGGCAGAGCACATGGGACACACACACAGTTAATAAATTGCATGTCATCAAGCCGCAACTTGTTTATTGGCCGCTGGTATCAAAATCACACCACACAGAAGTAATACTTACCAGGTTAAGAACAGGACATGCACACACAACACATTCATTTAGTTTGTATGACGGCGATCCACCTTTGTGTGATAGATGTGGAGAAACACTCACCATACTTCACATTTTAGCCCAGTTTAAATAATTAGACACGCTGAGAAGACAACACTTTCCATTATCCTGCCGACAACAGGTGCCACTTCACCCAGTAATGTTCGTTAGTAGGGAACCCCTTTTCACACATAAATTGTTGTTTGCTTTTCTGAGAGAACTATGTACCTTTCATGTGATATATTCGAGTATTCCGTAGCACGACATTTCTAGAGAGGTCTCCGCTGTGGTGGCTACACTGAACAAAGCACTTCCCTCACGACTCTTGGACACAAGGATGTGAACAATCATTGCCTCAACCACTCGGCCACCTCACCGACACATGTGAACAATCGAGGCACTTATGCTAGTGCTACACATGTCCATCACGGTTTTCAATGTCACAAACTTTCGTCGTCCATTGATACTACACTCATTTCATGACATAGTCATGATTTTATTACCACTATGTTTTTACCCACCTTAGCACCAGGAATTTTAAGGCCCTTATACAGCCGCTAATCACAATCATTGTCCACATCTCTAGTCCAATGAACTGGCGCTTTTTGCCTATCAATTGGCCCTTGCGCCAAAAAACACCAAATGTCATCAGGTGCTGTTCATGTTAGATGCATTGTTATAATTACATTTTGAACATTGCAACATTTTAACACCAATTTTTTTTCATTCGTCTGAGGTCTAGTAGCCATCTAGAATGCCACTTATGTTTTTTATTTAGTTGCAGGGCTTTCACATTTGATTTTCTAAGGTTTTATGTGTGAATACACTTCATAAGCGACCCCAAACCATCCACCGCCGTCGGCGGCGTCCGCAGTCTTCTCTCTATCTTCAAAAGAAAGAGGACTTGGCAGGCCGCAGCACGATGCTCTACCGAATAAGCCACGGACGCAACGCTGATATCGGTGTCAGTAACGCGCCTTATACCTTTAACGCCGCTGCGCGCGTCCCCCTCCCCCTTCGCTCGCTCCTCCGCTCTTCTCGCTCGCTGCAGCTGCATGCGCACCCCTCTCTTTCGCGCGCCAACCTTTTCTCTCAGTCTCCTATCGAGAGCGGGTCGTGCGATGGATGTCCCGGAGGCAACGCTACCATCACCCCATGCATTCGCACTTAACCATGTTCACCCTCGGGGATATGCTTGGGAGTTTTTTTATATATATGAATTTCGGGTAAATTTGGTCACTTGATCAGCATCGCATGCCTAGTGAAAACCACTGAAATTTTTTGTGTTGACCAGAATGCAAAAATTTAATTAACAGTGATGTGTGGCCCGAGAAATGTGCTCCAAAACTGAATTTCGATGCTCCAGAACACACCTTTTGCAGCCCCAGAGCAGCTCCAAAACTCCTTTTTTATTGCTCTAAAACTGTTCCAAAATCGCATTATTACTGCTCCCAAAGCTGCTCCAAAAAGACTGAAGCCCGCTTCCATCCTGCATATCTTGCAAGTTGTGTTCCTTTTTTATGGCAGGGGCTCTCGCCGACCAAAGAAGCTCTGGCATGAAGAAGGTGTTTGGGACCATGACATGTATCGTGAGGAGGAGCAGGGACCTAAATCAAGTGAGGAGCTTGTGAGCATATATGGCTACGATATTCGTTCAGAACTGATGCCTCCTGGAGCTCAAAGACGTCAACACTATGGTAGTAGGCCTAACAAATACGAGCACAGCTGGGAAGGTGAAGAGGCTTACACTCCCCAGTCAGGGTCAGGACGCGGTGAAGGAGCATGTGGTGGTCGCAGCACCAGGGCTGGGAGCCACCTTGGGAACCCTGGATTCTACGATGAGGACTTCGCCGACCTTCACTCGAAGCCCTCCGAAAATGCCGCCACAATGCAACAAAACAGAGGAGAAGTAAAGTCGTCAGACAGGCCTGCAGGGTTCGAAGGCTCAGACTGGACAGGGAGCAACAGTTCTCAACAGGAGAAATGGGACCATACAGTAAAGGGTTCTGGAATGACCCACTGGGGTTGGGGCAAGCGTCCTTCTCTACCTTCCAGGGCAGTACCAGATGCACCACCAAAGCAGCAAGACTGCGACGTCAAGGAGGATGTACCCCTAGGGCATCGTGTCAGCAGCCCTGCACCACAGTTGCCAGTGATGGCTGTTGAAGTGCCTCAAGTTTCACGTACTGCTGGCAGAAGTCGAGCTATTCAGCATCTGCTGAGCAAGGATGACCAAAGCAAAAGGGAGCATGAGGCACTCAAGGAGCTTGCTGCTAAAGGAGAGCTTCAGGGTGGTAAGACCAAAATCTTTATTCACTTACGTAGTGCATGTGAAATTCGTTTTCATGAGTTTTTTATGGGGCTCGGCATACCGGCCAAAATTTGCATTTCAGTGTTTTAGTGTCATAACAAGGCAGATGCAGAAAGAAGGGACTAAAATTGCCTCGGTATCCACAAAGGTGGACACAATATTAATGATCACACTTGTTTTACTATTTTGTTGCAAACGTGCTCATAGTTTCATATCATAATTTAATTGAGAGCCAGTTGTACAAATGTCGCTCTTCTATAAAAGCAAAACTTCTACTAAGCATAAACTGAGGAAAACGCAGTCGTTTGCTAGTGTCAGTATGGTCGAGTTTACTCCCTACTCCCATAATTTTTTTCATTGTTGCACTCATGGTATCAATATACCTCAAAGCCATTTTGCAATTAAAGTGTACATAATCTACTATCGCTAGAATTCAGTCGTAAAATTCGGATTTGGCTCTTTTAGATAAGTCACAAAATAATTGCCCCATTTTAATTTATTAATATCATTGAATGTTGTTTATTTATTTATTTATTTATTTATTTATTTATTTATTTATTTATTTATTTATTTATTTATTCATTTACTTATTCAAGGGTGGAGCCCCTGCTACATTTGCACCCTTCGGGTTTTCCTGTGCTATATATCCTGTGCCATTGAAAAAATTTTCCTACAGATAAAGACACCTACCTAAATTAGTTTTAGTCTCAGTTTATTGACAAGCTCTTTTCTCTTCCTACATAACTTTAGCCTGCGTATAATTTGGCCTCAGACTTTTTAAAACACTTGTGCTGCTGATCTTGGTGGCAGCTGTAATTGTGCACTGGATAGCTCCTGTGGCCATATAACGAACTGCTATTTCGTGTTCCTTATTCCTTTTTTGGCTCCCATTGGCGCTCCCCGATTGGTAGTTCAACCTGTCTGTCAAGTGACGAGTGGGAAGCCCAAATTTTGGTGATGTCTCAAATTGCAAGTGTGCACTCATTATGAAAAAATAGATGCTGATTGGTCGTTGAACCTGTCAATCAAGTGACGGTTCAGAAGCTCAAATCGTGGTAATGTCAAAATGAGGACTAGGCGCTTATTATGGAAAAATAAACGGAATCGGTTCAACGCTACAGTGGAACAGCCAGTGAGTGAATCTGTCGCAAATGGAATATGAAAAATGGCAGTTCCGGCTGAGCCAGCGACCTTTGTTGTTACGTTTGGCTATGGGACGTGACCTACGACAAGCGCCAGAGAGATGTGGCGGTTGCGTTTGACATGCCAGACAAACAGATTGGGTGTCACTTTCACCTGAGTAAAGCAATGGTGTTGTGATTCCACTTTGCAGCTTGCCATATCTTTCAGCTACGAAAATACTCCCCGGTAATCGCAATTAGATTGTTCTTGCAGATTTATATGCCACAGAACGCAAAACAGGGCTCACATAGACGATCAGTTTTTTTTTTTTCACTCTACACACACAGCCATTATGTGACTTGGATTGGATGCAAAAATGACTAACATGTGGCTTCAACTCTCAAAACACAAAAGTTTATCATTTACTTTCATCAATTTAATTAATTCATGTCAGCGCTAGAAGCCTATAAATCAAATTTTTTTTTATTTTTTCGTGAGATGGTTTTTTTTATTACATTCTCGCAAATAAAATAAATGGAATAAACGACCCCTTTACGGCTCTCAGCCAGAAAGTCGCTAAGGTGCTTAAAATTTCCTCTTCAATATACCCAAAAAATTCTAGGGATTTTTCCACTCGCGTAAGAAATAAATTGAATATACAACCTCTTTGCAACTTTTAGCCAGAAGGTCGCTTAAGTTCTTAAATTTTTCTGCTCGAAATACCCAGAAAATACTAATGATTTCTTTAGATTTCTACGTAAACTAGGCCAACTGCTGCATTTGTCTTGTTTACACTCTATAGGCTGCAACGAGCACTTTTCATTGACCAAATTTCAAAAAACGTAGGAGCTTCTGGCGTGGACCGCGCCTCAAGCAGGATGTAACAAGGAAAACGGAATAGAAGTATGTTATATGGCCACTGAACGAAAAAAATTACCAAAAGTATGGTTTTATTTGTAGTTCTTGTGTAACCCAAACCAGTGTGCTTTTGTGAAGGCACAAGGACTATTGTGGGTGCACTATCTTCACTCGGCTAGCTTGCTGAGCTAGCTTGCTGTGCACACATTTTCATTACTTGCCTTTGTTGCGTGCGTTTACAGACCTGGTACATTTGTTTTTCCTGGCTGAACTAATCAAAACAATTGCAGGTGTCTTGGCCTATCAGTTTATTATTAGAAAAAAAAGCTGCTTTTTAAATAAATAATTTATATTGACACGAGCTTATAGTGGGTTTCTGGCTGTTGCGTGGCTAGTGTCATCATTACTTGTGCGTGTCGAAGGATTTGGTCAGCAGAAAAGATGACGACATCATCTAAATAGACAAGACACGATTGCCACTTGAGACCGCACGAAACTGTGTCCATCATTCATTGAAAAGTCGCGGAAGCAGAGGACAGTCCAAAAGGAAGCACCTCGATTTCAGAGAGCCCATTAAGAGTAATGATGGCGGTCTTTTCCCGGTCATGCTCATTGACCTCAATTTGCCAGTAACCACTGCGTGATGCATGGGTGAAAAATATCGGTTGTAAGGCGGTTGCGTGAGTCGTCGATGCGAGGAAGGGGATAAACGTCTTTTTTTGTCACGGTGTTCAGTTCGCGATAATCAACACAGAAACGCAATGTGCCGTCTCTCTTTTTCACCAACACAACCGGTGATGCCCATGGGCTTGCAGATGGCTGAATGATGTCGTCAGCAAGCGCTTGTTGTACTTGGTTGTGGATGGCGTCTTGTTCGCTGCGGGAAACTCGATAAGCAGTTTGTCGAACAGGCCTTTCGCTGGGCTCTGTTATGATTCTGTGCTCTGCGACGGGTGTCGGTTTCATTTTGGACGTCGTGGCAAAGCAATCACTGAAGGAAAACAGGAGGAAGCGAAGACTCTCTTGCTGTGAAGTCGACAGTGTGCAGTTCACATCAAGCTTAACCGGAGACTGTTTGTCGTCGCGAGGACTGGGAGAGAGTTGCGCAAGTGAGAAGCTGGCTTTGGAGTCTCCGATTTCTTCAAAGTAAGCAATGACACACTGCTTCATGAAGTGCTGGTATTCATGACCGAAATTTGTTATTAGAATTTTCGCAGGCTCTTGGGGCAATTCTATGAGACCACAGGCGACGCATACTTGATGAGACAAGAGCATGGACACATTGCCTTCCACAACTCCGAGAGCCGTTCGGTTGATGTCACTCAGCATGTTAACCAGAACACTGGAACGGGGCGATACTGTCACTGAATCGTCGGATACACGCAACACCATCATACGCGATTCACAATCCTGAGAATGTTTGTTATATAAAAATGTCACTAGCAATTCTCAAAGATTCATAATAGCCCCATATTCTCGAAGGAAGTCTAATCCCAAGATGCCCTACCCTGCGCATTCCCGCAGTACGACAAAAGTCCCGATGAAGGCCGAAGCGCCAATATGTACTCGGGCAGTGCACCTCCCAACCGGCATCACTATATGACTACCGGCAGTACGGAGCTGCGAGCCGTTCCATGGCGTCACCACTTTTCAGAGAGCAGCCGCAAAGTCACCACTCATAACGGAGTAATCGGCGCCAGTATCCACGAGTGCAGTGGTCGAGTGATTGTCGATGGGTATAGAAATATCGGCGGAAATTGCTGCGTCAGGTTCAGAAAATTTCGTGACAGAAATATCGGTGTCTTCAACGTGTCGTGACGGATGATGTTTGCCGGTTCAGTCAACTGCGGCCCTATCCCCAGAGGTCGCTGGCCTCAGTTTTCCTGGCGTAGGCCAGGACTTGGGGACCTGTTTCATACACCAGAGAATGTGGCGTAACGATAAGGCGAGCCGAGGCACCGAGGAGAAGGTGAGCCTGGCCGGTGGCTTTGTGCAGGAGGAAACGGCTGCTGCGCTGCTAGGTATTGCTGAATCTCGCGAGGACGCTCCCCGTTGCTGGGTCGATGCACGTTAGGGTGAAACCCCTGAAGGCCCGTCCTGCGATATGAACACTGGCAGTACACATGGCCCGCTTCGCCACCGTGGTAGCAAACAGGCCTGTGTTCAGAGGTGCACCATATGTCAGATTTATGGGTGACTTCACGCGGAACGTCATACTGGAAAGTGCTCTCGTAGTTATTTGCAGGTGCTAATTGACAGGGCGATGATGAGAAAGTAGAGGGTGGCCGGCGTCTGGTAGAAGGTTGAGGACTCCTCAGTGCTTCGGCGTAAGACAGAGCAGGAGCTTCCGCACGCATTTGGAGCAATGGTTGGGTCACATTCCTGAGTTCATCGCGAACAATGTCTCAAAGAATCGTCGCGCTTAGGTGAGCAGATGTGGGATAGACGTTTTCAAGCTCCTCCAGGACCACGCTCCGCACAAGCTCGCGGAGTGCTGATAAGTCCTGTCCACAGGTGAAAGGTGACACCGCGGCAACAGAAGCTTGGCGGTCGTACTGTAGAGAGGGTTGCTGAAGTGCCCGTTCCATGGTAGTAGCTTCTACGATGAACTCATCAACAGTGGTTGGGGGCTTGCTAATGAGTGCAGCAAAAAGTTGCTCCTTCACATCCCGCAGGAGGAGTTGAACTTTTTTGTTTCATCCATCCCTGGGTCAGCGCGCTTAAACAAGTCTGACATGTCTTCGTCAAACATAGCCACGTTTTCATTTGGCTTCTGGACCCGGGTCTGCAGAGCCTGCTCAGCCTTTTCTTTCCTTTCAGGATTTCTGAATGACTGGCATAGCTGTCGCTGAAATTTTAGTTGGTGATAGACGGCTCTTGGTTTTCATACTAGATGCGAGCGTAGTCTTCAAGTGCGAAATAGATGTAGCGAAGCTTCTTGGTGTTGTTCCATTCGTTGGCGGCTGCGACCTGATCAAAGTGGTATAGCCAGTCATCTACTCC